CTTATGCCAGTGCTTCTCAAACTTTTAATAGTGGCAACCCAGTTTTCAATCGTAATTTTATCGCGCCCCCCTTATACGATAATGTATTGAATGCAGTAATAATGCACTTGGATGCTAAAGCTACAATACGATATTAATTATAAACCGTACAAATTAATAAGATAAGTATATTAAATGTTATGTATATGAAGTAATATAAATTTTTTTTCTGGAATTTTTTAATTGGGACAGATTGCAAAATGATATGGCTGCTTTGATGACAAAATATAGATCTCAGCCAAATATAGAAAAAGTACTCAGTGTCAATTCTAATCGTAAACATTTCTTTGAAAAACTTTCATCTGCAAGACAAGCCCATGGCAGTCGCTAATACTTATTAAACTTGCTCTTAATTAAAGATTAATAAATTAGTCCTAAAATACCCCTTGTGCAGCACTGATATATTAAAAGTGTGCTATCTGAGAAGTACCCGTTTATTTTTAAAAAACTAAAACTTTCTTGATATAATAGCTGAACTGTCAGGAGAGTCAACTCAAATGCTTGACAATGTTTGCGAAAATGTAAAATGTTATTTTAAAATGAATGTTCATATTAGAATTAGTTTTAAGCGAACTGTAATTTTAATGATCACAGAATTATAGCTAAAGAAAAATAATATAAAATTCCGATAAAGAATAATTGTGTGTGAGAGAAAGAACTCCCCTGGGTTCCACCCTGAACACAAAGATTAAATTGAGGCAAAGGATTACCAGACGACACATTTTTACAATAACAAATAATTTTTATTCACTTGAATCAATTATCAATCTTCTAAATACAAATATGAATCACTTTGTCTACGTCAATGGGATTGAACTTTACTATTAAATTAAATCACGAAATATGATACTAATCAACTATTAAACTCAATATCGAACGGGTTTTTTGGAATAAGAGGACCGAGAGATATACTCAATTTGAATTACTAGCAGTCATTAACTTTCTACTAACTCTATTATATATTTACTCTTATGATCCGATAATTGAAATATCACCTGACTTTTACTACTTCACTCCTTTCCAGTTGGCTCAACCTTCCGAATGTAGATATCTGCCTGATCTCAGCTAGAAACTAATCACACAATCAATTTGAATCTTCTTAGCACTCCTTCTATGTATCTCTTGGCTCAATAGCCTTCTTCGCTAACCTACAACACTCTCCTTATATACTTTGATTCATTTGCATATCCCGTTTCCTCTTATCAGAGCTGGCTGGAAATATACGCGAATTTACAATCCCCAAAGACGCCCAAGAATATTAGTGATAAAGTTCCGTATAGATTCGTCACATGTGTGTTATTTTTAATATTTAAAGCGAGAAGACTTCAAAATGTTTTATCCCGGGAGCAGGCACACACTCGTTACTAACGTTTATCGTCAGGCGGGGTGATTGTGTATGTTAGTCACCCTAATTCTTTTTTCCTATATAATTATTTTTATATAAACGTAGCGGGATGACGATTGTCATGGTGTCATCCCAGCGCCTCCTTCTTGTATCTGCTTAAAAAATTGTGTAAAACATTTTTCGTTATGCTTTATATGTTTGAGAATACTCATAAAAAAATAAATCTTGGCCAAGTAATGATTCAAAGTGCTTCTGTGGTTTTCCAAACATCATAAAACTTAATTAAATGGTAAAAATCCCACTGAAATACATTATTTACAACTTCCCTAAATGAGAAATTAACACATAAGAGAGGAGTCATAACTAACTGTACCAATAATTTAGAAGGTCAAACAGATGATCAGCAAATATTTTCTGCTGCCTACAAAAATAATATACAGCATTTCGAAAATAATAACTCTGAAGAATTTTATGTCTTCCTAAATATTTTCGATTCTTGTTTTGGGTTTTGTTTTTTCTCTGAAAGAGTAGTATTTTAGGTTTAAAAAAGTAAAATAAAGAATCTCTTATCATGGGATTACAGCAATCAAATAAAAGTTTTTTTATTTGGTTACAGGATAAGAGACAGCTAATTAGGTTTTGGAAAATCTCTTATTTTGATGACGTGATATCGCCAGATGTTATATATAACTTATATCAGAGTAAAAGTGCATTTTTTAATGTCTGAAAGTATTTTGTTTTAATTCATTCCAGTAAACTAATTATTTTTTAAATCTTTTATTTTAGATATGCTCTCGACCCCCAGGGGGCATGCTCCACATTTTGAGAAACGTTGGCTTATGCCAATTGTTTTCATTGCACAACGCCATCTAGTGGTGATTTTTCAAATTAATTGATTTTTTTCCCCTCGATAAAATTCCCAACATTTCATTCCGCCATTACTAATTTTCATGCAATTGTGTTGCATAATTTTTGCTACAGACTGCTCGTAAAATTCAAGTTTAATCTCACCCGGTACTTATAATCATGTACAATCAGAAATCTATTTAACGAAGTCGCTAAATCCCGAAAATGTTCGTTATATTATAAGGTTTCACTTTAAATATATTTTATAAACTACACAAAACAAATTTTAAATTCATAAACAGTATAAATTAAAAAAAGTAGTAATTCACACCTTTTTGTAAATTAATATTTGTGTATTTTATATATCTTCCAATCCGGCAGCCAGTGCCCCTTTTATTAACCTTTATCGTGGTATTAAGGCCTGAATTCAACTAGTTTGAAATAATTTGCTTTGAACTAGACATAACATTTATCACAAAACTTCATTTTGTTTAATTTATCTTCATTAGTAAATTATTATCATCCACTGATGGAAATTAAAATCCCAACACCAAGAAGAAATTGTGCTGCTTCAGTGAAATTTGGTAGGCATGTTTATACATAAGGAGCCCAGTGGCTGAGTCATAGCGTATCGCGTTTCCACACCATGGGTCCAGGGATCAAACCTCGGGCTGGGCAAGGTCGACTCTGCCTTTCATCCCTTCAGTAAGTCAATAAAATAAGTACCGAAATTGTGCTTGGGAAATAAACACTGGGAGTTTCGAGTTAGACGGACCACCTGACTGGAACATCTGCTCATGCACCTCAGAGCAGAAGGACATGAAAACTCAGAGGGGCACAGTAGGTCTTGTCCCCCTCATGGGTTGTTGTGGCACTGAGTTCAGCTAAATTTAGTTTATACGTCTAAAAAATGACTTCGATTCAAATTCCACATTAGGTGCATAAATGGAGCGCTTGTTGCTCCACTTACGGTGGTATTCTCAATCGCGAGTTATTGAAAAGAAAACTCACACGGATTGGGTAAACCCTGCTCGACGATAACTCTCGAGTAATTCCCGTTTCTCATTCTCGAACTGACGAGTAGGGGATCCAAGAGTTATACGTTCGCGAGATGTTAAACTGGTTGTGATTGGACGCTGATAATCACGTGGTATATTGTTTACATATAGCATGTTGTATCTTGGTGCAAGACGCTCGATTCACAGCTATTTATTTCTTATGGCTACTACGTCAAACAAAAGTAACTTTTTCTCTAGTAGAATCTTATTAAAAAATTCAAGGAGATGTTATTCATTGCAAGATAACCAGTGCAGTTTACAATAAGAAAAAAGAAAAAGCACGGGATTACTTAACTATTGATTTCAATGCAGGCAGCCTTTCTAAACGAAGTCAATAACAGCTGCAAAATAAATTTATAATTATCAAGAACGAATCGCAAAATTGAAGAAACAGCACTTGACAAAGCAAAATTAATTAAAATATTAAAACTCATTCTTTTTTTGCTTTTACTATAATACTATATTAAAAATGAAAAACATTTTTTAAATCCGTAATGTTAACCAATTTTTCAATATTTCTGCAGAATTTGGATAATACTATACTTCAAACGAGAAAACATTTTCGTGCGATTGTATTTCAAAATGGTGAAGTTTTTAAATGTTTCATTAAAATTTGAGTATTTGTTGAAAAATCGTAAAAAAAAAAAAAAATTAGGCATTTTATTTTTTAAATGACTGATTCTAAAAGAGAAAAGCCTGAACTTTCTTAGTGCAGAATATCGATTCAATAGCAGAAAGAAGAAAATTAAATTCTTACTGACGATTTAAAAATCCATTTCATGAAAACGCATCGATTTTGACTCATTTTCGAAAAAATTGTAAGAAATAGAAAATATTTTTTTAAAAAAAATTATACCGTATCGTGGCGAAATAAAAGAAATTTCCCATTAGGTTATTATTTTTTGCCTCAATTTGAGAGAAAGAATAAGATGGGTTTTTTTTTAAAAAAAAAAAGGTCGAAAAATCGGAGCTTCTTTATGATTAATCCGATAAGTTGCTGGGCAGAATAAAAAGCAAACAGGGGGAAAAGGTTTTCAATTAATATCTTTTTAACTAATTGTGATATCGGAGTATATATGGTCAAAACATGCATTGTCATCCAAGCTAAACCTGTACGCAAAATTTTAACTCAATCAGTTGCGGACATCAGTTTCAAAATTTAGTTGCAAGATTTCAAACGAAAATATTATTTATTATCTACACTATTAAAACTTGAAGGTAAGCAAACGTATGACAATATACGACTAAGTGTATATTCTCATGAACCGCAAGACGCAGAAACTTGCCGAAAGTACCAAAAGCTTGGGAATGATTCAAGGAATTCGTTTTGACCATTTATATTCCGATAGTACAATTAGTTAAAAGATATTAATTAAAAACCTTAAAACTTATAATTATTGCCATTTTTTTACGGACAGGCAGCGTTCCAATTTCTAGACTATTTTTTTTTTGTCCAAAACGTTTTTAAAACACGATCTAATTTTTTTTACAAGCTATTAATTAAATTTCAATGTAAAATGTTCCGGTGGAATCTTGCAACTCCATTTTTGAAGCTGATGTCTTCTACCGATTGAGCAGGAATTTTGTATACACGCTTAGTTTGGATGTCAATGCATGTTTTGACCATTTATATTCCAATATCGACCTAGTTAATGTAACGATCTTGTTCAAGTGTTAATGCGAGTATGTTTACAAAACGAAGGGTGTGGACTAGAGGTGTGTAGCTCAAATGGTAGAGCGCTCACTTAGCATGTGATAGGCTCGGGGTTCAATATCCCACGCCTCCAAATGTTAATATATTCGTGTAAAATATTTTATTTGTACAACGAGATATTTTACAACACTTCCTCTCTGCATAAGTGCAAAGTATGTTGTATTTTTACTGTTCTAGAGGGAACACTAAAAAAGACAGATCTATCGAACTATTTCTATTTACTTTGAAACATTTTATGTGTGTGTGATATGTATTTACTCGATTCTAATTTCTCCCTTAACATTTTTAATTGACCTAGTTACTGTAAAGATCTTGTTCAGAAGTTAAAGTGGGCATGTTTACAATAATGCAGGTGTCGACTGGGAGCTTAGATCAGATAGTAGAGCGCTCGCTTAGCATGCGACAGGTATGGGTATCGATACCCCGCCCCTCGAAGTATTTTTTTTTCGTGTAAAATATTTCATTTGTACAACGCGCGAGATATTTTACAATACTTCCACTCTGTATACGTACAAAATATGCTATATTTTACAAGATTTTATTTAACTTGTAATGTAAATTGGTTGGGTGGAATCTCGCAACTTAATATTGAAGCAGATGTCTTAAACTGATTGAGATGAAATTTTTTATACACGTTTAGTTTGGATAACAATGCAAGCTTTGACCATTTATATTCCGATATCGCAATTAGTTAAAAAGATTAGTTGCATGGCCCGGTGTTTCACGAGCTTTCTCTACTTTTATAAATGTTCCCTTTCCTTAACAAAATCAGCACTTCTAATACTCTTTTTCAAATGATTTCCACCCCCTCCTCTACTTAGTCCGGGGTTTCTCGGGCTTTTACCGAAATTATAACTTAAATTCCCTGCTGCTTCGAAATTTTTTCGCTTCTTTTCTTAGTTGGACAGGTTTATTTCCTTCCAGCGCTGAATGAGCATGTTTAAATAAATAACATATTGTCATAGAAATTCCCCTTCCCCTGCCGCTATCAGAGCTCTCGAATAAGTGAACATTCGCAAATTCTTAAACAGCTTGACAGGTGCAGCCATCTTGTGGCACAAAAACTAATGATTTATTGCACAAAAGAACTCGTAAAATAAGTTTTCGACATTTTATTTTTTTAAATCACTAACTGTAAAAGATAAAAGTATGAGTTTTTTTTTTAAAAAACATTTTCACATATAAACGCATCTTGATATTGACTTAATTTAGAAAAGTCATATGTAAAGTATCTTTGTTTTGTAAAAAATACAGTATCGTGAAGAAATAAATTTTCTTCCAATTACAAAATTGCTAGCAAAGTTATTAAATGTGCGAAAAAATGTTTGCGTATTTTTTAAAAAAATCATAAAACCAAGCGTTGGTGCTGTTTCGAAACTGAATACAAAAAAGTTAATAATCCAGCGCTCTAAACGATTCATCCACAAAATCTTTGGAAAATGAAATAAAAGACCTGTAAAATAATATATATAATAAAAGGAAAAGATATTCAATTTCGCATTGCGTTATTTGTTAAAGGTAAAAAAGGTTTTCGGGCATTATTTGTAAGTTAATGCCTTCAGACTTCATACATCGATTGCAAACAAAGATAACTTTTAAACAAAAATGTATCAAAATCATGCTTAAATATTTCCTGCAAAAGGAAAAAACAAAAACTTAATTTTTTAAACCGTAATTTTAAAGCAATTTTTCAATCTAGTGAAGATTATGGATAATATCATTCTACAGACAAAAAAAAAAGTTTCACGAGATTATTTTTATAAATAAATTGTTAAGGATTTAAATAAAATTTTGAGTATTTTTTAAAGATTCATAAAAACACTTTTTGTTATTTTATCTTTTAAAATGACTGATTCTAAAAGAGAAAAGCATAAATTTTATTAGTGTAGAATATCATTTCATTAACTTGAAAGTAAATGCAATCGGAACGATTTAGAAATCATTCCACAAAAACGTATCGATTTTTACTCATTTCAGAAAAAAATCGTTAAAAAATAGAAAACATCACTATTTTGTAAAAAAAATTATACCGCATCGTGGCGAAGTAAAATATTTTTTGATTCTGTAGTTATTTTTTGTCTGAGTACTCTAAAAAATTTAGATCGTGTTTTAAAAACGTCTGGGGAAAAAATTGGTAAATCGGAGCGCCGCCTGGCGGGAAAAAATGACAATAATTATGCGTTTTAAGGTTTTTAATTAATATCATTTATCATCATAAATGGTCAAAACGGATTCCTCGGATCATTTCCATGCTTTTGTAACTTTCGGTGAATTTCTGCGTCGTGCTGTTCATGAGAAGATAAACTTAGTCGTATAGTGGCATACGTTTATTTACATTCGAGTCCTCAACTGATTGAGCTGAAATTTTTCTATACTTGTTTAGTTTGGACGACAATGCATGTTTTAATGATTTATATTCCGATATCACAATTAGTTAAAAAGATATTAATTAAAATACTTTTACCCCTGTTAGCTTTTTATTCTGTCCAGCAGGTTATCGGATTTGTCTTAAAGAAGCTCCGATATTTTTCAAACTTTTTTAAAAAACCATCTTATTCTTTCTCTCAAATTGAGACACAGTAATATTCTAATGTGAAAGATTATTTATTTCGCCTCGATACGGTTTAATTTTTTAAAATAAATAATGATATTTTCTATTTCTTACAATTTTTTCGAAAATGAGTCAAAATCGATGCGTTTTCATGAAAAGGATTTCTAAATCTTTCCTTAAGAATTTAATTTTTTATTTTGTGTTATTAAATCGATATTCTACACTAAGAAAATTCAGGCTTTTCTCTTTTAGAATCAGTCATTTAAAAATAAAATGCCTACAATTTTTTTTTACGATTTTTTAACAAATACTCTAATTTTAATAAAGCATTTAAAAACTTTGTCATTTTTAAATATAATCGCACGAAAATATTTTTTCGCTTCCATAATAGTATTATCCAAATTCTGCACAAATATTGAAAAAATTGGTTTAAAATTACGGATTTAAAAAAAAATGTGTTTTTCGTTTTTAATATAGTATTATAGTAAAAGCAGAAAAGGAATGAATTTTAATATTTTAATTAATTTTGCTTTATCTAATATTGTTTTGGTCTAACAGTGCTTATCCTCCCTTCCCATTATCCCCTTGTTGCGGCCCGAGTGAAATATTTATCATATATATGTGGCCTGGCGGAAAAAAAAGGTTGACTACCCCTTAGCTGAATTTTTCAAAATTAACCCGCAAACGACCTTGCAACAATGATGCATTGAATGAGATTAATAGACTGAGAATCCTCTGTCCAGCGATAACTAAAAAGTAAAAATTAAATTGAAAGTAAAGAATTTTTTTTAAACAAACTCTTATTTAAATGGTCTAAAAAGTATAAAATAAACTTCTCTTTTAGAACTTTTTTGCTATCAACTTATAAAGTCTTTATACAATTTATGATATAAAAGCTTGTCGCGAGATTTTCCTGTGTAGATAAACAAGCAAATTAAATAACTTGATCAGATTGATTTTAATTTTTAAAATTTTCAAACTAAGAGAGAGAGAGAGAGTAAATACGAGTACTTAAATCTCGCGACAAACTTTTATATCATATATTGTAGAACGACTTTATAAGTTGATAGCAAAAAAATATTAAAAGAAAAGTTTATTTTATACTTTTAGAGCATTTCAATAAGAGCTTGTTTTTAAAAAAGTTTTTTTTTTTACTTTTCAATTATTTTATGAGACTCAGAAAAAAAAATAACTACAGAATCGGAAGGATCATTTAGTTCGCCACGATACGGTATAATTTATTTTACAAATAATGATATTTTTCTATTTTTTACGATTTTTCTAAATGACTCAAAATCGAAACATTTTTGTGAAATGATTTCTAAATAATTCCAAATGCATTTACTTTCAAGTTAATGAAATGATATTCTACATTAATAAAATTTATGTTTTTCTCTTTTCGAATCAGGCATTTAAAAATAAAATAACAAAAACTTTTTTTACGCTTTTTCAAAATATACTCAAAATTTTATTTCAATACTTAACAAATCATTTATAAAATTAATCTCATGGAACTTTTTTTTTGTGTTGAATGAACAATATTATCCGTAATCGGTACAAAGATTGAAAATTGCTTAAAAGTTACGGTTTTTAAAAATTGTTTTTGTTTTTTCCCACTTTTTGCAGGAAATATTTAAGCATTATTTTTTGTTACATTTTTTTGTTTAAAAATTACCGTTGTTTGCAATTGATATATGAAGTTTGAAGGTATTAACTTAAAATGAAGCCCGAAATTTTTTTTTTAACTTTAACAAATAATGCAATGTGAAATTGAATATCTCTTCCTTTTTTGTTTACAGGTGTTTTTATTTTTTTTTTTTCCGGAAGATTTCGTGGATCGATCCTTTAGAGCGCTGGATTATTAACTTTTGTTTTCGGTTTGGAAACAGCACCATTGCTTGGTTTTTATGATTTTTTAAAAAATACGCAAAATTTTTTTCGCGCATTTAACAACTTTGCCAGCAATTTTATAATTGGAAAGAAAATTTATTTCTTCACGATACTGTATTTTTTTTACAAAACAAAGATACTTTACAAATGATTTTTCCTAAAATATGTCAATATCAAGATGCGTTTATATATGAAAAAGTTTTTTTTAAAAAAAACTCATACTTTTATCTTTTACAGTTAGTGATTTAAAAAATAAAATGTCGAAAACTTTTTTTACGAGTTCTTTTGTGCAATAATTCATTACTTTTTGTGCCCCAAGATGGCTGCACCTATAAAGCTGTTTAAGAATTTGTGAATGTTCACTTATTCGAGAGCTCTGATAGTGACAGGGGAAGGGGAATTTCTATGACAATATGTTATGCATTTAAAAATGTTCATTCAACGCTGGAAGGAAATAAACCTGTCCGACTAAGAAAAGAAGCAAAAAAATTTCGAAACAGGGAATTTTAAGTTATACACGCGGTAAAAAAACGAGAAGCCGAGGTGCTAAGCGGAGGAGGGGGTGGAAATCATTTTAAAAAGAGTATTAGAAGTGCTGTTTTTTTTAAGCAAAGGGAAAATTTATAGAAGTA